ACAGTCAGTTATTATCCAGGAAAGAGAAGAGGTCATGACCAAATTAGTGGAAATGTCATCTCTCACTATATTGATCAGTAGAATTGGTAGCCTGATGTATCTGGAAACGCATGGGTCCCTTTCCTGACCATTCCTTGTGCATCACTCATTCACTCTTTTAAGAAATATTTATTGAGCATCTACTTTGTGCCACTTCCTGTCTTAAGCACTGGGATGATGGTGGTATAGGAGACAGACAAGGTTCTTGTAGCCACAGAGCTTACTTTCTAGTCAAGGGAGGCAAGCAATAAAGACATAAACACAATGAAGATGATTTCAAAGATTGATGTGTTACAAAGGAAATACAATTGGGTAATGTGTAGACAGTAACTCAGGGATGAGGGTGGGTGATTAATTTATATTTTGATTCAGGGAAGACTGTTCTGAGGAATAATAAGCTGAATTGTGAAAGACAAAGACCCAACAGGTAATAACTAGAGGTAGAGAATTTTAAGGTAGAAGGATCAAAAATTAAAAATGCCTTTAGGTAGGAGGGAACTAGGCATATTTAATCAACAGAAAAGCTGGAAGAGAGGAGAGTAGTAGATGAGAAAGGTGGCAGAGTAGATAGGGACTAGGGCATCTATGGCCTTGTAAACCGCTTTGAGGAATTGGAATTTTTTTTATTAATTCAATGGAAAAACCACTGGAGGATCTTGAGCAGGGAAATAACATGATAGGATTTATGTTTTAGAAAGATTCTTCTGCCTGACATGTGAACCCTAGTTGGGGGCCTGGGGAGGATGGAAACAGGGAGATGAGTTAGAAGTTAGGTCATGCTATGAAAATTGTTCAGAAGTGAATTGGGAGTTTTATTCTGGGGGCCCAGCCATCAGACTTGCTGGGAAATAGGTGGTGAGGGGTAAGGGAAAGAAAAGAATCAAGAATGACTTCTAGGCTTTTGGACATCCAGGTAGAAAGTGGTATAGTTTATTAAAATCAGAAAGACTGGGGAAGGAATATGTTTGATATGTAAGTAAAATGATTTTTTCCCGAATATGTCTACTTGAGATGTCTTTTAGATATCCAAATTGAAATGTCAAATGGATATTTGAAATATCAGAGCCAGAGATAAAAACTGAGGCTCATCAGTATGTTTTACTTTTCAGTGAACTCACCTCTCCTGTCTCTACCAGGAAAAGGATAGAGGGGGGTTGCCTTTCTAACATAGTGCCTTCCTCCAAACAAATTATTTATTTAAAGAGGATGACCATACTAGATAGAAAAAAGGAATATGGCAGATGGCCTTCAGAGTTATTTTGGTTGGAGGATATGAAGAATTTGAGGAACACTTAGATATAGATAATACAGTGAAGGGAAGAATTAGTGGCTCCCAAGGTGGTACCATTATCTAAGTTTAGGAATATAGGTATGTGGTAATTTAAACTTTTGATCCCTATTTTTCATCGCTCTATATATCCACACCCTTTGCCATATCATTACAATGCTCAGTGCTCTCCCACAATGGCGGCCACACTTCTACCCTGTGACTCTGATTTCGATCATGTGACTTGCTGAGGTATTAGCAGATGTGATTCAAGTAAAAGCTTTAAAAAACTCTTACATAATTGAACTTCCACTGTTTGGCATCTGCCATTATC